CCACGGGCGTGTAAAGTGCGGTGGATTAAAAAGTACTCGTCCTGCAGAACATCGCATTCCCCAGACACGAACCAAATTTTCACACGGGTGGTAGAACGGGCCGCACCATTAGTATCTATAACGTGCTAAATAACGCATATTTAGACTGAAGCAGAGCTAATAGCAACGTGTCGCAAACAGATGACTCAACTGTTGATTTAAATAAAAGAAAAATGGAACAAGAGAAAGGGTTAATTGTCCTTGAACATCGCAAAAAATGAACCGCCCCCGGGTGGGCTCGAACCACCAACCTTTCGGTTAACAGCCGAACGCGCTAGCCGATTGCGCCACGGAGGCAATGAGTGGCCACAGCGAACTCACCACGTCACACGAAAGCATACGTATTGTCGTGTTTCGCTCAGAAAAGTCAGTGCAACAGCGTAACAGTACAACTAGACTGATTGTGAACTCTCCGTACCGTAAATAAGAATTTATGCATATGATTTCAAGCAAACAACATGGACGTCAACCAGAAGGCAGGTGTGTAATCCACACCTTTTAGAACTGAGCTATGCTAAGACAAATAAAATGTCAAATTTTTTTTTTTGGTGCATGCCTAGGTGGGTCAGGTAGCTGTTTAGCACGATATATACATGCTAAAAAGCTTAACGACATAATTCTTTCAGAAAACGGCACTAGCAAAGTGCTGACCACCCGATTACGATACCTGCTTTCAGTTAGTATTAAATATGGTTCGTCATTGACGGCGATTTCAGAGAGAAATCTAAAATTTTTAATAGTTTAAAATTAAGAATTTGAAGATCTTCAGATCCTTGTAGGGTTGGATAGAATTATATTTTTATGTTGATAGAAAATCAGCATGAAGTAGGGCCGATTTTTGCTTGATATGTTCGAAGAAAAATAGGTCTTGACTGAATTTCGCTCATACACAAATGTCAACATTGTAATTAATCATAGAATATGGCCCACTGAGACACCGCAATTTCTTGTGAATAAAATCCCAGCTAGTAAAATCATCATGTAATACTTTTACTCATGTATCGCAATCCTTTTGAGTAATATATATAAATGGCAAATATAAAATTTGGAAATTTCTTTGTACTCACCTAAAGAAGACGTTGTTGGGTGGGCCGTATAGCCAGGGGAGGAGTTCTAACGAGGGCTCCTCGGACAGTGGCGGGATAAGTAGCGTGAACAAGAGGGCGAGAAAGACAAAAAATGCAGGCAGAATGATTTCGCAGAATAGCCCCTTTAGATTACGAGTATTTCGCTGCAACCGTCGACGATACATAGCCGCGAGCTGACGGCGATGTAGCAGCGCACCGATTACAACTTCCTTTGACACCGGTGCGGGTAGATCCACGTCTGGCCGGTGGCCTAAAAAGAAGATTAGATGTCAGAGGGAAAGACAAAAATTCGTGTGATGGCTAAGCGAAGCCCTATTAATCTAGCCCTTGTTGTTAACAGATTTAGTGTACAAACAGATTTTGAGACTAAACCTTCATCTTCGCAATACTTACCTTTTAAGAAAAGCTTTGCTCTACTATTTGGTTCGTTTGTACTCTAGCATTGTCTTAAAGTGTTCCAAGACCGCGTTCATTACGCTCTAGTGGCAGAAGGAAAGTTCTCTTCATGCGACCTATTCGCTAAACTTAGGTGTATTTTTATTTATATATTGAATTCTTTTTATTTACGCAATATGGGGAACACGGTCTCGGCCTTCCAAGCTTCGCTGGCGTAAAATGAGTTAAGTGCTAGCGTTTTAATAATAGTTAAGTTGCTCCAAACTTTATGTCTCGCCGGAAGTAATAGCTGAATGAACTACATTTTGTGTTTTGAGGAAGGCGGATTTCTGTTTTCGTGATCAGCTTCCCTTGGCGAAACGAAGATAAATTTGAATGTGTTGAGGGAAGTAAAACATAAGACTTAAATAGGTTTTCGTTGAACAGTCAAAAAGAAATGCAATGGGAGTGTTTGCCAGGACGCAGACGGTCAGATTATTCGGTGAACGAATGGTATAATAATCGATCCTTTATTTGCTATTGCGACTAGGATACAGCAGCAAATTATTATAACCAGACTGCAGAGGAGTGATCAGGAAATTGAAAGAACTCGGTTTCAGCTATAAAAACTGTGGTGCTAATAAACTATGTAATCACAACGATATCTTCCTGTTGCTGCTACGTAAGTGCTATCATTACTATTATTATCCTTATTATTAAGCTGTGTGTGACAAGCAGCACTTACTCATGAAGCTATCCTGTGTTAGGCGGCCGGTCTCCTCTGAGGTCTCGGCGTTGTCCTTGTAGTCCTTGTTGTGGAAGTTGCTCGACACCCGGTCGTCCTTACCGTCATGAAAAGCTCGGAAGAAGCCGGCCAGCTTTTGGCAGAACGGCGGCGCGGGATCGTACTCCTTGCACACTTGGTCCGTGCTCAGCGACTTTGCAGACTCGCCAACTTTTGTTACCTGTGAAAGAACGACATCATTCGGCAGCCTATAGTCAACCAATAAACAATAACAATAAATGATATATGTACACACCAATATCATGCTGGACCGATCTAATAATAGTGCTTCCTGTTGTTTGCGAGGAATATAAGTAGAACTTGCCTTAAGGAACACTTCCTCCAATGTAGTGTCCGACAGACCGTAACTGCTTACTCCTAACCTGTCTAGATTGGCGTCGAGTTCTCTACACAGTTTTTCAAACGATGAATATGTATCCGGGCAAGCAGGTAAACGGAACGACATTTCGACGCCGGTTGAACTCACAAGGGCAGCGCCCTCTATATGTCGACGAATCAAGACTTTGAGGTTTTCCACTGTTTGAAACACGAGGTCACATAGACAATGTTATAGAAAAGATATTGAAAGACGTTTCGTCATGACTGCCACGCGCACAAATATTCGTATCTCTGTGAATTCTGAGAATCATTTTTACGTACTTTCATTCTTCAAACCCCCCAAAAATCATTTCGACAATCTTCATCATGTGTCACATTCCTCCCGTGAATAACGTCTGCTGACCCTTAAATAAAAATTCGATTGCTTTGAATAGTTCGATGATTGCATGGGAGTAGTCTATCATTAGCTTTGCTTGACCTCTCCTTCTGAGCCAAAGCAAAGCACAACATTCGACTACGATTCAAGTAGAACATCGTCATTTACAAAGCTCGTGTCAAAAATAACAACGGCGTATAAAATCGGTTACTGAATTTGGTGTCGAAAGGATTAATTGAATAGTACCCAAACGAAATACTTGTACTTTATGTGTATGTCCGATCGCTAAACTAGCGAATCAATTGTAATTCAATCGAATCTCTCGATTTGATTCTATGGCTAAGTTGCGACAGTTTCCTTTCTTCGTTCATCTGGCCACCTAAATGAACCAGAGCGTACACATCGAACAAGGCCACTTGTTAACCCCTTTTGTTCCCCATAACTCTGGCAGAGTTCCGATTGGTACTCTAATGTTCCTCCATTCAACTTTTGGATTGAAATATATTGGTCTCACGAGTCCTGGACGCGTATTTGCACTCTCTAACTACTCGGTACGGCTACAATTGGATAAGTTTACCCATACAATATACTGCCTATGCAATGTATGTATGTATGCCCATGACACATAAGCAGCTTAACTGCCCACTCCAAATCGTTGAATAGGCGAAAATGTGTGCTATATGTGTGTGTATGAAGTCCTGTCGCCGCCGCCGTCGTGTTGTGGGCAGTGTCATGAAGTAAATGGAAGCACCGAACGCGGAAAGATAAATGATGCTTTCAACATCGCGGTCGAACGATTCACAACGTGCGACACCAGCATCAATGTGTTGAACAATAACTGTGCTGAAATAACACTACAATGAAACTATATTAATATTATGGTTATAAAATTATTAGCAGAACGTAACAAAGGCAGCTATTTAGTTCAAGCAAGACGGAAATTACAGGGTAATTTGCTGTTTACTTTTTTCGCAAAAAAAAATCTAATATAGATGTTTATAGGAAACTATTGAATGTCTAAAAGTGAAAACTTCACATTACTAATAATCCTAAAAACCGGAATAATTTCGTCTTACAGATAGCATATGTTGCTTTTGGCTAACTTACCACTAGAACTAGTTCCGGCAGTGGAATAGCTAGCAGAACCGTACGTCGCTAAGTGAGTATGCGCGGGACGTGATATGTTTAGAGTCAGTCATACATAAGTCTGGACACGTATTTTAATTTTGTGGACAAATAGTTACTGAAAAAAATAAACGCAAACCAAAGCAGATTGGTTAACGTGGCCATATACAGGTTCTACGTAAAAGACTTGGGGAGTTAGAGGAAGGTACCAAAAGAGTGTTGCATCAACGTGATCAACATCTTCGGTTCGGAGCTGGTGCGAAGATAGCGCCGGCTGCAAGACCTATACGTTTGTTCTGTTTATCTGTCTACTTAGTAGTGAGTACCATTTCAAGGGACGTTCTCTACAACGATTAATGCTGTCAACCCAAAAAATTGCATTTGTCCTACCATCTATCACAACCTGATGCAGAAATTTGCCGGTCAGCTTGATTGCTCTTCGGGACTGCTATTAGTCATTACGTTAAATCGATGATATGACCGCATAAATGTGTGCGGGCAATTGGGCACATACTGCCTAACGGCAAAAAAAGGACGCTAAGAGCTCTAGAGGCATACTAAGAAGAAATCTTTATAATTAATTCTAATTGTTCATAGTAGTAAAACAGCTGTTCGATCTCTATGCCTTTCCAAAGAATATAAATATGAAATGTCTCATTAATTGCTATGGTTAAAGCATTAATAGATACGCTTATTTCGCATACAGCAACAAATAAAAGGCAATTTGTATGTAGCATTAAAATTAGACCCGCTCGTCGCTAGAAAGGAATATACTAGCAAAATTATCGAACAGTTTTATCTCCAAGTGAATCACACTGATTACATATTAAATTTAGGCAGGGCAAATATAACGTATCTGACAGCTTTTCTACATGTCTATTATGGTAACCTATAGCACCGGGCTGATATGACATACAAAACGTACGTCAGTAAAAACCAAAAAATACTATATAGTTCTGCTTCTCTTTTTCGAGTTGTTGTCCTCCGAAGTACTTCGAAGTGGGCGACTTCGTCGTATTTTGAGACACTGAAGGTGCGATATTTACACAAAAAAAGGCATAGGGATCATCGTAAAATATAAAGTATTGCAGTGATGAGCGCAGCTTCGCCGAGGTAAGCTTCTGTCTACAAATTTATCGATGGCTCTACGCCAAAAGGCACATTTCCATAGAACAAAGCAGCTTTATAAACCGTGGCAAATTTTCCATAGACGATTGTTAAGTTTGGCGAAGACAGCACAAAGAAGCGGGACAGCCCAAAAGACTGGTTCATTTTACGATACTGCCACCTAGCTATAAACCAGGACTGTCGATAGAGTAAACGGAAGATTGTCTTCGCGGAAGTAACAGTAGAGAAATTTACCCATCTGAACTAAAGCTTTAAAGCCATTGTGCTTCTCCGCATAGAGATATTAATTTAATGTTCAAGTGACAAGTGGTGCATTGGGTAAATGTTAAACAATAAATTAAACAACTAAGACACAGAAAAACGAAACAATAAATAATTGCTGCAGTTATTTAATGTAAAGATTCTACTACTAAAAGTATGATTCGTAGCTGTTAATTGTGTGAAAGTGGAATGTAACTGAAAATCGAGCAATTTTTTTATATACAATCCATTTCGAATTACGCTATCATTAAGTCGACATATTTGATTGGTCACTTTTTACATGAGTATAACGTTAATCGCCTATAATAGTTTTTTTTTTTTTAATAATAAACAGAGTAACAAAATCGGGAAAGTATTTTAGATGAATGCACTTCCCAGTGGTGTTTTTGAAAATTTCGCATTTTATGCGATTTAAATCGTTCCATTGTTGAACATCGAATGCTATGTGTAATTAAGTTTAAAATGTTTTTTTCTTTTACTAAAACTAGTTCAGATACTAGATATTTTTGTTTTATTCATTGAAATAATTTGATCGATCTGTATTATATAACGAATCTGGTATCTGGACCCGTGTAGATGTTGGGATATACTTTACTGTTGAGGAAACATTCCACACGAACTATATGTTTCTTGTTGAGATAAACTTCAGGAGAAAAGGAAATAGATATACAATTATATAAAGCAGACTCATTTGCGTAAGAAAATTTCATTGTCGTTACCCAAACCAAGTGACTCATTATGAAAGTAATCATATTCAGTAGTATATTGTACGATCGTACTTTATCTGCTTGAGATGAATGATAAAAGGTCTGCCAGCATTAAGTTAACTGTCAAATAGTGGCCATCTGTTGATAAGGTTTTACTTCTGTGAAGTCTCGATAGATTGTCTCATCTTTCAAACTTGAGCGCCATATAGCAGTTCACAAACCCAGCTTGCAACAATCAAGGCCTCGCTCCAACAGGTGTATAGCAAAATAAAAGATAAAAAAGAGAACCTAAAGGCAAGATCGACAACTTAAATTTCATTTGTTGGATAATTTAGGCCATTACTACTAGCAGCGGTTGGCCTATTATATTCATTCAAACTTAAGACAACTTTACCTGTTTTGTTATTTGATAACCTGGGGGCCAAAAATGTTATGTCAGTAGGCCTATCATCTAATGTGGTTGGTAATAGTAACCTGTTGGAGTTTTAAGCATTCGAATTTTTTCAAAGTTTCAAACTCAGTAAACATCCAGCAGCCTGACGCAATCATTATACCGATACATTTGCCATGCTATATAACAACTATTAATGGAATGTATTATTCACTTATATTTTATGCTACGATATAGTTTACTCTATATTTTACTACTTGACCAATGCTTTGTAAATCTGATCATGTCAAGTAATTCTTTAAGGTATATAGCAATCTTAAATGATAAACATTTTGCTTGCATACAGATGTATAATCGCATAGCATTGCCATGTTTACGATGCAGATGTCAAGTGTACAAAAATTTTATGCGTTTTCAAATCAACTCCACCAAATTACACTCTACTTTCTTTTTACGAAGTTAAATAAGCAAATCACGCAAAATACCAGACAAGGTTTTATAACGTGAAAATAATCTAATTTTTTTCTTCTCAGAAACGTTTTTGTATTCAGAGAACAAAGGCCGCTGTTGTCGCACATCAGATCCTTGTTTTTATTGTAAATTTGCTGTTCATTTTCTTGTTCGCGCCTTTATTAAGCGACAGTCTAGAGGAAAGACCGAGAGGAGGCAGCCGAAAAAAAATTGCGTTTACTATAAAGTTCAAGCCAATCTAATGATCTATCTATCAGTGCATCATATTCACTATACTCAACCTTTGTCGAGTTGATTGGTATAGAAGTGGCCTTCTGCAGCCCTGTCAGTGATTATGATCCGAACGGAGTACCGCATCGATCTCGATAGCTGCAGTCATGGATGGAGGTCAAAAAGGAAATCAACCAAGAGTTTTCTGTAAAATCTGATGGCACTGCGCTTGTAGTGGTGGGAGTAGATCTTGCTTCAGTCAGCTCTGCTCAGTCCTGAACGGTTAGCTTGTCGCTCATCTCAACGTAGCAGCAGTTGCACCAGCACAAACGCTTGACGATGCTGTTGCTGTATTCTTCCGTGCGATACCGACGCGCCAATGTACGTTCGTATCAGGATGTGAGCTATGATTTATATGGACATGTGTCTGACGCTATGTCTAAATGTTCTAGCTTCGTCTCTCGGGCAGTTTCCTCTGTCCTCTGGCTTGAGCTACGCTAGTTTGGTGGTGTGTGGTTATTTAAACTCACCCCCTGCACACATACAGACAATACTGTTCTCTCTGTCGCTCTTTTTGCTGGTCCCATTATTTGGAGCCTGTGGCGCGACTCTGCAACAGAAGCAGATCAATATACAGTGATGTAATGGATTGGATGGCGTTTTCGCTTTTTCCCTCTACCATTACACTACTATAAAGGAAACGATTATTGGTGCCATTGTTCAAGTATTTCGTCTTTTTGTTCCTTTCGAATCTTTCGTGTGTGACTCCAAATAAAGGCCAGAACAAAATGCACGTTAATGTTTTGATTCTTTCAATAATCAACGCCTTGGAGTATCCCTGACATTATGGCTGTGACTTAAGATGCCATTAACTGTTTTCCGCTGTTGTTAATGTAAGTCCTTTTGCTTTTTGATGTTTTTCTCCCCCGCTGAAAACTTTAAAAAATAGAAATGTCTATATCTACAGTGGCCCCATTTTGGTACATGAATGTGTTAATATAGTATGCAACCACTAGTATATAATACAGAATCTTCTGAGACTCGTAGCCTTAAAGAGCTCAGCAGAAGAAACGTTTGTAATCAATTGCAAAACGCCAATCTATGTATAAAGGGGACCGTACAAAAATTACGTAGGTAAATATGTGGTTGTGCATCAATTACTGCTTTTATCAAGAAAATTTGAAGTTTAATATTAAATTTGTTTATGATTCTTATGATTAGAATTTATTTCTCCCTAGCCCATAAACTACTTTTGGCGTTGGTCTGTTCATATAATTCTCCTGTTGTACTTCGCTCAGTTCCTTAGTTAAATAACAATGTAGCATATACTAGGACAATGTAGCAATAAACATAGCTTGTCAATTCAGACAAACTGTGACGAATTAACTTCTGCACAATAGCAGCTTGGTCTCTTCAGCAAGAAAGAATACTTTTTTTTAAGAAAATGTCTTTGAATAAGGTATTAAAGAGCACATTAAAGGAAGGTCGGCTCCATTCACACACTTTAACACATTTGGCATCCGATCATTTTTTTTCGCTTTAGAACTTTGTTCGTTTCATTTTTCGAGTCGCGTTTCCTGTGCTAGCAGTGGGCACAAAGACGACTTGAATCTGGAAAAAAGCCATCTGTTTTGGTATGGTATTTAATGCATACGTACAGTTATTGGCGACAAGTCGGCACTTAAACCAATGGAAACACCGAACGAAACCAAACTCGTATTAGTAAATCTGAGACCCACAAAATACTAAAGGTAGGAGAGTTAACTACACAACCGCGGATCACCGTTGGTGATATCGAAGTCCAATGGTGCACTCGCTTCCAGAACTAACGATAGGGTACAAATCAGAAAGCTACATCATGTTTTGTGCTGCACATAGGACTTCGAAACTTTTTTTTTCCTTGTCTATGCCTACGTCAAGGCATATACCAAGCCATAGAGAACGAAATGTATATACTAAATATATCAACTGGTGAACATAAATTGCTCGTTACACTGGCAAGTGAGAGCCCGTTGGTGGAAATGAGACATTATGTGTTCAGATATTAGCTTGTATCGCTTGTAAGCTAACTTGTTTATGACATATGCGGATTTATATAATCAGCAAATCAGTAGAGGCATGTCAGGGGTTGTTTTGGCTATTATTATCTGTTTTAGTAATCGTCCAGTTAACTTACATTCGTTAATTTACAAAACATTACATTCGTTACTTCTAAATACATTTTTACTGTAACCGTGTTAAAAACCTAGTTACCTCACAGGCGCACTAGGTTTCCCAGTCACAAGCTGCACGTATGTTGCACGTATGAGCATTGATACTCTATAAAGTGCCAGACAGCCGAGTGGAGGACTCCGTTTTTATTACGCAAAATCGTATCCCTTCAATTTCGTACAGCCTGTGCAAATTCACAGTTAAGGTTATCACGGAAATCACTATATTTTCGTCTTTCCCTTGACAGTCTGGATATATCTATCTATGATGATACAAGCAGCTATTACTAAAATTAATTTCCAATGCGTTTCAGAGTGAAAAATAAAGGCGACAGCTAAACCTGTTTTTCTCTTTCTCAGCCTTGATGGAGTACACACAAATATCCATCTCAATAATAAAAATATAACCATCGGTTGGTATCGCCTACATAAACATGGGACACATTATGATAGGCTAATCGACATGCTCCGAAAAACCGAGGTCAAAATAATACAAACGTAAGAAATTGGAATCTTGATCTCGTAAAAGTGTTTTGCCAGTCACCTTACAAAAAGGAATGAGAATGTTTGAGTGAAGTGAGAATGTACGAGGTATACGCCAGCTTTGAATCGCACAGATAAACGATTGTTTGTGGGGCAACAATTTATTCGCATTTACGCTCAGTGTCGTCGACTACTTAACGACACTAACGGTTCCTGTTCGCTGCTTGCCCCTTTTCTCCTTCTCCCCTAAAAATTAACCCCAACTGAAAATGTGAACCGAACACTAGTTTCCTTTGCGGGTCTTGCGGAGCAATGACGTATTCTTTATTGGTGGCAACAGAAATCGCTATCAGTTATGAATTCTTTCCTTTGTGTAATGATGTACTTACATCTCTAAAAGCTGTGTCTGTAGGTCTACTTACGCACTTTAAAGTCGGAACTTGTCATTCGCTGTGATCCAAGTCAGGTCATTTTTCCTTCGTTCCTTATAGGCACTCTTTTCAAACCCCTTTCCCCTTTAAGAAGCGACACCCGAGTTTGGGTTCTGAGTGAAATATGACTAGAGAGTTCAGAGAACTCACAGTCTGACTATGGATGACTTACATTCTTCTGTCGGCTGGTGGATGCACCATCACATGCTTTTTGCTCTATCTTCTTCCGTGTTATCATGCCACGGAAGCCTGCTATCCATTGTCAGCAACAGACACATACAGACATGTAAAGACCTGTAAAAGTTTACGTGTCTGCCTGATGACAACTTCGTCGCCACAATAAAAGCACACACCTATCGTGGCGTTAAAATAAGATGTGCTAGAGTTTGCGCAGTAAAAGAAGCAATTGACGAATGAAAGCCCGCCTGGGACACGTTTGTTGCAGACTCAATCGAAAGCGAACTTTGCCAGCTTCAACTAAGAAACGAAATGTCACCAAAAATGGGAGAGAGATGCTGAAAAAAATAAGAAAAACGCCCATTTCGCTTGTCCTCTTCCTCTTTCGAGAAGAAATCTAGCGGTAGGCTTGATAAGCCGTAAAAGAACAATCAGTCGACTGTCGGTATATAAATTGTATGCACGACAATCGTACCGTCACATATTTATTTACGACGTTCAACCGCTGTCTGCCGACTCTGTTTCTCATAGCAATACACCTGGACATATGGATAACCAACGGAGGTACTCAGCACACATGAGGGAAGTAAGGGAAATGCCAAGGAAAAATACAGGACTTTTTCAAATTTCTACTCAGGCCGACCCATACCAAAAGAAATAGAGAAAGACATGAACTTCTCACGGCTTTATCTCAGATAGGTCAAATGTTTCGTTCAACGCCTCTACTTCGTTTCGTCGTAACCATATACTAACTCGTTTAATTTTATTATATAGTTGCCATGTGAAGTCAAAAATCCTAAGGTGGCAGTAGAAGGTGTATCTTAAAGAATTGATAGCCGCGACCGGCTGATGCTGTAAACTTCTCAGGCTAGTTTGTTTTTGTGGACTTGAAGTACTATCGCATTATAATTATCAGTCAATCTTATTTTTTGAGAATTCTACACACTGTGAAAGAAAATTGGTAATCTAGAAATATACAAACGGAAAATAACGAAACACACTCATATCTAGAAAAAAGAGATTCAATTTTTCCTCCCTGGAGCTTTGGTTTAGACAGTATTTATTTTTAACGTGAAAAATTGCAATCTTTTTAATTTACTTTTCCTTGCTATGTATACAATAAATATAAATAATAATGATAATGGTGATAATAATAATGAGAATCGTTCAATACAAACAGATGGATGTGTACGTTTGTACACATATATCTATTTAAACAAACAGATAGATATGTACCTTTGTACACATATATCTGTTTGTATATTGATATTCATATAATCTGTGCATCTTCCACTGTTTCTACTGTCGGCTGCCAGTAAAATATATTGACAGAATGACCCCTATGAGTCTGCCGATAATCATTACTATAGCCTAAGCTATCATCCTGAGCACAAAAAATACAACGTATATCAGGTAATAGAGGTCTAAGTTATCATATTAGGAACAGATGTTTACTGTGTGCATGTTTTCACAGAAGCGGCTACCATGAGGAAGCTGCCCAATTTAAAAATTCTGGCAACAGTGCTCTTTACACTAAACAACTGTCACGTTTGTTACAGATACAAAGCTATTTTGTGTTTTAGCGATTGACGCTATTTGATCAAGTATTTACATTCTATGGAGGCGGCCCTCACTGCAAAGGCCACCCGTGAGACAGAATTCTGGGAACCTACATTGCGTCTGAAGAGCTGGAAGCTCTGCGTTCTCCTACAACCAGTCAAATGAGCATATCATTCAATAATCACCATCACACATCAACTTTTGAACGTGCAGCGTTTTGTTCAAAATAGAGAGCAATCCCCTTGAACAATCACGGGCGCCATTCAAGCACCGGGTTCTTTCCTGGTTATCATGCATAGACGATCAATGATTATGCCTTCCATGAGCGCACCATAGATGAAATATGTGGGCGACGGGTGAAATAAAACTTCGTTTTTCGTATGTTTATTCTAACCTAAAAAAAAATGCTTTTGTATCTAAATAGAGACACTACCGCATAAATTTCTAGAACAGTTTCAGCTTAGGAATCGTTGTCGTAGCTGATGGCCTGAATCCCGGCATTCCCGTCTTTCCCCAGGATCGCTTTTTTGCCTCCTCGAGATGCAACAGTCGTTGAATAGTTGTCATTTCCCCAGTGAGGGTGCCCGTAGATAACGAGGAGGACGAAGAGCTCTCAGATTGAACGCCTGAGTCAGAGCTACCAGCTTCTGATTTCGTCTCATCGGTTAGTTCCATGTTCGCCCTTAAAACGGCGGCTTTGGCCTGCGTTTTCTTAAATAGAGCACTCGGGCCAGTACCCCGTTTTGTACCCGTCCTTTTTGGTTTCTGCATTTCAAGCATGCTTTTCGTGCTTTCCAACGCCATAGTCTCTCTTTCGTTACGACGAGCTACAGGAAATGTGGTGGCTGGCCCTGACTGTACTTTAGGTACTCTGTTAAACGCGAACTTTCCTTTTGAGACTTGCGATGGTTCTTTGTGGAAAGTCGAAAAGCCATCAAATTTAGGGTCAATGGACGAATGACAACCAGTTGTTTTCACTGGTGGAACTGCTGTCTCTTGAGGTGTGTTTACGAATTCTTGCAGCCAGCTGTCGATCGAGCGATCTTCTTTGGCCGCTAACGAAAAATGTGCTTGAAGATCTTCTTCCAAGTTCTCTTCATCATTTTGTAGTTCTCTTTTAGCATATAAATCGTCGTCTAGCATAGCAGCGAAATCCGGCATATCAATATTGCACTCAGGGTTGGCGATAATTGGTTGAAGTTGCTCAGCCGTTGTTTCCGCTTTATGTACACTCGCGTGCAATATACCGTATGTGCATGTGGCCGACGAACAGTTCAAGATATAATCTCCATTAGGATTGAACAGAAACCGAAGTAACGGTTGTGCACATATGATGCATGATAGGCCCGTTGAAGTCATTCTAAAATACAATAGGGAACAGGGTAGGCGCATGTACAAATAATTTGTCCTGATTTTTGCGTAAATATTAAAAAATATTACCGATTATCCTTGTTACGCATACAGCTGTAATCACGACTACGAAATTACGTCTACCGCATATTTGCGCACGCAAATAGCACATACAAAATAACATAATTAAACTATTTATGCCGATTAGAACACCACCTATTTTATATATATATATACCGAAAGTTATAGGCAAATCCCGCCAATACGGTGTTTACATGAGAGCTTCAAGACAGTTGACGTATCTCCCAAAGATGAATACAATTGAACGACTCTCCGGATGTGACATTCAGGAGAAAGACACCGCTTCATTCATTGGAACAAGCTATATAAATATATACATATCTATGCTTACATAGTACATACCTTGTATATTCAATACCACCAGTTCCACACGAAAACTTGCTTCAAACTATCTGAATTCACATGCGATACCGGCGTCAAGATTAGAAAATGTTTTCGCACGTGGGGGCCGCCATCTTTGTTTTGGCGCGCTACTTTAAACCTTGTGATAGTTCTGTGAGACTTTTGTTACAAAAGCTTCTTAAAGGTTAAACCCCCAACCAGTGACGGACCCGCTAGACAATATTGTATGTATAAATGTTTATTTTCAGAGCAATAACAATTGTCTGTCAAATCATACTCATTCATTCATTGCTCTCTGTGAGTCTGGCCGCATCTGTTTTGTTCATCAAGAGGTATTACCCGCGAGAGGACATCGCGAAGTTTTGCCGGAAAATTTCCTTGATCGTACGTTACTACTGGTAGACTTAGAAACTTAGTTTTTGAATTGGGATACTGGCACGTGATTGGATATGGCAAGTTCTCTCGAAGGATACAAGAATAAGATGGTGCACGTGGTTACGGGTGATGGCCGTAGTTTTGTTGGAACGCTTAAAGGTACTACTATCTAAAGACAAAAGGTCGCACGCACCATTTCATCCTCTGTGTTTAAACGTGTGAGTTAACTGTTAAAGCAAACACCAAAACTTCGAACTAGAAGCTCGCATTTAGAAGGCAAGAGAAGGGAAACAAATAATGGATCAACTTAGCCTCTATTGCGTTACTGTACTTAGCAGGGGCTCCCTAGAAGACGTTCAGCGCATGGCGGAAGCTGTAAGCAAAGTGACGGACATGACAGTCATCGAATACCAAAAGCACATCTTGTTCCCGCTAATTAAGCGTCTCCAATGTGGAACTCGCAGTGAGAAAACTGACAGTTGCTTGCTGGAAACTTTAAAAACGGTCCTCGATCGAGTAGATAGCCAATTTCGAGATGCTGAGCTTCTCTATAATGTTCTGTTGACACTGCTAAGTTTCTTCTGTTCTCTAGAAGGCGGTTTTCGGCCACATGTGAGCGAAGATCATCAACTGACACTTACTCAAATCTTGTATACAATTTTTATGCGAGCAGATCACGCTATGATTATTCAGATTTACACTGAAAAAGAATACGAAATAGTTGTTTCTCCATTAATAAAAATTCTCGTAGACCTAATCAGCCATCGAAGCAAAGAGTTAAAGCTCAATTCAATAAGGGCACTGCGGGCAAGCTTCCTAGATGGCCGAATTGAGGTAGTAAAAACTATGAGCAACTTTTTGCCAGGAATAATCCTTTCCCTTCGGCATCAAATAACGGATTTCACAGAAAAAAGTTATCGCATCTTTAACGCAGCACTCGAAGCCTTGACTGACGCTGTGAAGCTCGTGATGACGGATGACGTTGATCTTGGCGAGAAATTCTACAAGCGAGCAGCTCCAAACTTGACTGCATGCTTCTCTACCTTAATTAAGGTGTGCTGTCCTCCGCACTTTAAGGAGTGTGAGCCTGCCTGCAAGTACTTTGCCACTGGAATTCTCACAAATTGTTCTTTGCATTTGGAGGACTCTATTCCCATTTGCCTGGAGATCTTACTTACCCTCGAGGATCCGCGATACATAAATATGGAGAACTTCACCAGTCTTACGAGGTCTGCTGAACTCATCTCGATTAAGGAAAAATTTCTTGAGTACTTCGAAAAGCTGTTTGTACGAATGCCGCGTATTTCAGCGGTGGGGTTAGACTCTGAAAAAACGTCACTTATTCGGCAGTTGCATGGTCTTCTTCGTATATGCCCTGATACGATTCGAAAAGCTATGGAAAATGAACTATCTCGAAAAAGGTTTTTGATAAGCCTTTTTCAACTTGTCTCCCTCGATTGCACGATGATAAGGATTAGCCCTGTCGAAGAGCCTTGCAATGAGTGTGTTAAAAACCTTCATCGTCAAACAAAATCTTTAGATGAGCGCTCCCTTACTGAGTTGCGGGCTTTCTGTCAATCATATGGTGAACGCCTCAGTTTATCTATGTGTCGCGACATCTTACTTGAAAGCATCAATATGCCAAGATGGCGCTCGGAGGCAGCTTTGATTTTTTCTTTCGTGGTAGAAGGGCTGCGCCCTGAGGAGAACGAAGGTACGGATTTGATTGAGTACGTAATTGAATCGCTACCATCAGATGATTCAGCTGCCGCTATCCTTCAGAAAGTTTTTTTCCTTATGCTCCTGAGACAACTGATTTCAAAAGTGCGGCCTTTGAGTGTCAATATATTGCCGTATCTTTTGGCAAACCAAGCGAATGACATTGATGTATGTATTGCTAGCGCAGAGAAAGCTTTGTTCGAAACACCAAAAGCTATTGGCTTTGCTAATCTGGAGGATCTGTTGACCGAGAAGGCGGAAGATATCGTTGCAAACTTGGAAGACCTGCTTCTGGAGGATCCTTCGGTGTTCCATCTTGCGTGCCGTGGCCTTTTTGCTTATCTACCGGAGCGAGCAATTGAAGCCTATGACCCCTTATTTATTACATTAATTAATCATCTAGCCGTCGGTGATACCGTAGAAACGTTGACGACACTGCATCATTTAGTTAGGTGTTTCCACTCACAATGTCCGCCTCAGAGGCTGAAAATCGACACACCACGGAAGGAGAGCCTGAAACATTTGGCAGCGCGGTTGTTGCGTGAAGTAGAGGCAGCTCATGCTATAGAAAACAATGCAGGAGATGAAAGTTGTGAAGATTTCAACCCATCGGACATGTTAGATCAGGTCAAAGAGGAGGAACACGTTAGGTACAGTGACGGTGACAAGCAAACTGTAGATCTTCCAATTCCAGTTAGGGTTTGTCGGGATATACTAGACGCATGCGTTAACATGCAATCCGGAGGTATTTTTGTACACACGAAAGCTTTTGAAGTCATTGCTGAGAGTATTATTTTTATTGAGACCTACGAGGATGAACTTCTTCCGATGGTTCACATTATCTGGGAAGCTCTTGTTCATCGGTTAAAGTGTTCAGACGATTCGGCACTTTCAGTTAAAGCTTTAGCCGTATTATCGGCTCTATGCCGTACGAGCCGCTCCTTCGTTCGGGATCGAATCGTCAAGGAATTATGGCCAAAATTCTGCTCTTTCCTCCACAAACAACGGAAAGTGTCCTCTGGAAATCCGTTTCGCGAATACAGGCATCTCTGCGAGTACAAGTACCAGTTAGCTATTCTCGAATTTTTCGGAAGTTACGCCATTCAACTAGATCTTCGTGAGGAGCATCTCTCCCCTATATTGGCAGAAGTGGTGCCGTACCTTATGGACTCTCGTCAACCCGCAGAGCTTCATCGCGCAGCTACGAATACTCTAAATCAAATGACCCTTCTTAGCCCGGAATGTGTTCGCTTTTCTATTCGTGAAGCGATCTTGAGTCGGTGGACCGAAGGCTGTCCATGGTGTAAGCTTCGACTTCAGGAACAACCCGATCCCGTTCGGGCTTTGGAAGAGTTCCCCAACCTCGCCGCAGTTTGGTAAGTGCTGGCGATAAATCTAAGGGGAACTTTTCCAAAGCTATTTTTAGTTTTCAATGAAGGTGTTCATTGAATTTTACATTATGTATGGTTAAAAAAGATTTTCGATGTTAGAGGTTCGCAATCTTTAAACAACATGGTCCATTATATAGTGAATGTCAAGTCCCATGATGGCTTGTAGATACCTATTGCCGGTTATATCGTCGTTCACAAATCGAAGTTATAATAATTTGTATATTTGGTTTTAATTGCAGGGTTTGATCAAACCATCAATATTATCCTTCAAGATAGCCACGAACGCATATTCAGCATGCAGGAGGGAGTACAGAAGGTGCCAATGGGCCTGTACATAATTCGGGGCGACAACGTCGTGCTTGTCGGTGAACTTGATGATGAACTCGATAGGCAGATAGATCACGACAACACCCGAGCGGAGCCGCTTAACCACGTCGTACACTGAAAACACCGGTTCCTGGAAATCGTCTCAGCCTCAATGGAATTATCCTTTTTTCAAGTGCCGAACAATTGATTTCTTCGGACTTACCACTACTTTGGACCATTTGGAGCGTCCACGGGCGATGTTTACGTCGGGTCAAGCATTTAACTGCATAGGGAATTCTAATAGCGCAAAGTGCACTTCTTCGTCGCTTGTAGATCATGAGCTGTATAACCAAATACACTGTAAACTTATCGGCTTCGGTTATTGACTACTGGTTTTGATCTTGAGTAAGAGCACAATTGGAGTCAGTTGTAATAGCAGAAGATACTGATTACGTACACTATAGGGGGAAGGGCATCGTAGGAGCACATAAGAGAAACTGTTTAGTACGGTAGTTAGGAGAAAAAATTGGGATCGAATATAGAGATCATTAGCAAGAAATATGAACGATTTCATAGAGTGTACTTCAAACTATTGCCAGTTGCAGTGTGTGAATGCAGGTATGTGGAAAGAATGCGTATTGGAGAGTCTTCAATGAATGTACTACAGCCGAAGAATTAGTGGTGAAGCAGTTACTGACTAAGCGCCAGAAGGCGACTATGAGTCGTTTATTTTTATGTAAATAAATATGTACTTACGTTTTTCCAGTTCTTCGGTATTCCTTAGCAATTATCTTAGTACCACAACCATTGATAAAAAAGAGACGAATTCTTAACTCTAGGTTAAATTTTTTTATTGCTTGTTTTTGGAAATCAATTCCTTTTTTACGTTAGATTCTTGGCGTTTAGTCTAGAGGGTTGCGTTTTTTTGTAGTGTAAGTAGCTCTCTAAATGTTAAGTGACAGATCTCGTATGATTAAGTGTTTATATAGAATAAAACTCCTCGCGCAAAACTGTAAGTGTTGCAACGCACGACGCCTGCATTAAAATTCAATTTCTTGTGTGTGATATGCCGCGGCGACTATTATCGATGTTAGCAACGCCATGGAAATTATGAGACATTTTTTAAAGCCACTACTAGTACTGCTATGTGAAAAAATATTGACAACGCGCGGGCGTAGACGGTTTTGTGGCGCCGCACCCGCTTGTCTGTCGGATATCTACGGGCCAAATTTTAAAACATTTGATCGTGTCCTTTGCGATCAGTGACATCTGGTCATCCGTTGCTCTTCCGGAGAATGAGAACGGAGTGCCAAAGAACATAAGTCGCATTCTGTGTTAGAATCGAATTCAAGCGCCAACAATTAATGTCGATTTTGCAAAAGTCTTTTCGAAATCAGGTTATTACGGATTAGTGACCGATATACGAGAGTTTTCAGAAGAATAAGACAATTCTGAGTACCACTTCCGTCTTCGATCCACCACAACGAGTACGTACAGAAACGTGAAATAAAAAAGCAAAACAACTTATGCCGTCGCCTTACGAAATCACTTATGGAAGAGTTAGACATTTCAGATAGGTGATGTCGGATCATCTGGGGCGAGAAGATGCATAGCATCAATTGCATCAGCTTCTAGAACAAACTATATCACATGTTACTATTTGCTGCTATGCTTGATTCCTACAGTCGAGTTTACTAATTACAGGAAGAGGCGGCACAGGCATGTGAAGTCCGACGGGGATTTCGAAGGAAACAACTCAGATTTAAATGATTGAATCACTTTCGTTTGGTAGATAATCACAAAGTTATTAATAATCTTTCAACACATCTGTAATCATATACTTTTAGTTGTAACACAAATGGCATGTACGAAAATTTGAATTTAAATAATACGTATTCTAACCAGGATGCTTCCAGATATAGCCTTCACTTTTTTGTAACGAATGTCAATGAAATTATTATAGCGCATCCTCAGCCTTGGATTAATATTTTATGGTTGCCCATAAAGTTGAAGCGCATGTTGAAAGAAATAGATTTATAGCGAACTGTAAGATCATTTCTATAGAATTGCCGAATCCATACATATACGTATATACATCTACGGTATTTAGCACTCCTTACAGAATCCCTGTTATATCTTTACCCAGTAAAGTTCGGTAACTTCACACATAAGAAACAGTAGTAGCTGATATATTAGGATTTTTGGTCGAGTTTTTTTATTGCTTTAATGGCTAGGTAACACAAGTATATAATATATAAGCATTTTTAGATGATGGAGTAAAAACATTGCGATCAGCAGTGTTATTACCGCCATGTTTTAATCCGGTTTCTTCTTCCTTATCGATTGCATTTATATCTATGCGGCCATTTTCAATCCTGTCACAGCGAAGGGAAATTTCGCAGATGAGTCTCTGTCGGCTCAGAGAGGCCGCAGCAAGTGAATAATGGCCCTACAACAGTTTCATCGTCTACAAGCTAGCTTTCGACTTCGCTTAGTCGTACGTAGCGGCTTAGTTCTGCTGTGAGGAACGGCTTCGCACTGTTTTTAGTGTCCGCTGACGAAACGCAGCATTTATTGATAGTCGTCGATGGCTACGCTACCATCACACACCAATTAAAACATTTCTATTCTCTGTTAGCTCTCCTTATCATTCCAACTAGTTATCTACTCATAGTCCGTACAAACGTCGCAGCTTGTGACTTCTACTAGTTTCATTCGGGGTGGTTGTCGAAGGCATGCGACGATTCAAGCTCTTCGCGTAATTCGCAGGCAGGAACACGGACCGATTAACAGATATGCAGAAAATAATCCCAGGTTCGTTCAAGACAGGCAGCTGTGTACCTCGATACGATGAGGAAATTTGTATTATCTATCGACCGACCAAATTGACATTAACAGCATTTGCGATTACGACAAGTCTGTATGGCGGCGGAGAGAATCTCTGGTAAAGGGAAACAGGAAGTGAGAGAGATGAAGGATCAACAATTATCCGTTCAATGACTTTTGCCATTTTCATCTTAGGTGTAATACTAAAACGGAGAAAATATACTATAATACTTATAGAGTCTGCAGCATAGCTATAGTTTCTGATGGTGCGGTAGTATTCGATGCCGAGAGGTGGCAGTTTTGTTCTCGGACTAGAATGTATTGTATGCTGTGTCGTCTTGCTAGTAAAAGTATTTCAGCTAGAAACATCTGCACCAGCATATCGCGTACATTGCGATATGCTGGTGCAGACATTTCTATACGTATGCGCACTCGTCCCATGGAAATCGCGGTCACTTTTTACTATCTATCTGCGGTATATAATAGTGATATTGCACCACAAGAATATCCGCATTAGTTATGTTGTGGCGTTGTCGGTGTGTCTCGGTTATGTCTCCGCCTCTGATCCTCTTATATTGATGAAACGCATCTGTCATTTGACGAGTTAGATCATCGGAAGATTGTTTTAGAAATGCACGCATACAGGTCGGTATACGGAATCAACAAACTCCCGCACATACAAAAATGCTTAATCCCTCTATGTGAGCTGGTCGGAGCTTTACAGCATTCACGGAGCTTCATCACTATCAGAATGGCCATCATCAACGACATCCTTCATTGAGATAAACGCGGTAAAGAATGAAAAAGAAAGAGAGATTTTTGGGCAGCTTAAACATAAGTCAGTATTTACTATCGATGTTGTTGTCGATGCAACATATGGTTAAAATTGCTGGGTGCTCAACGTGCGGAGAATGCCGAGTATTCGGTGGACCTGTGAACGCAGGGTAGCGAGATCCACTAGCAAGAAACATCGTTACGCTTGCAGTTAAGGCAGGCAATAAGATACGCCTCGTGGAACCATTGTTCTGCCCGTGAAGGGTGGACGCGATGCAAAGTGCAATTTGTCAAATCGGACGGACATTTGTACAACATATTTTGCGATATATTGCAATGCTTCTGCTAATGTCATGTATGCTTAAGCACACTCTTCATCGTCACGTTTAGATTTGTCTTTTTATCAGTAGAAGGAGGGCTCGTGTGAAGTTCAAGAGGTAACCCAGGTTCAAGCTTTGTAGTCGACATCCTACAATAGACTTGCAAATATAGTTTATCAAACGGATTTTTTCGGTCATCAGTTACCGTTTAATATCAGATGCACGTCGGTGCAGGGAGGTAACTAGCAAAAATTAGTAGATTTGCGGCAATACGGTGCTATCCTTAGAATTAGCTATAAATTGAGCACACTTTACGATAGTAATCAATTTTCAATAATTGTCTAGATGTACTATGACAACGTTTGGCTCCATATAAAATAGAATAATATTAAGGAAAATAAACTATATAATAATTCATGATAATATAACAGCATGATTCGGCATATCCTAAAATCGGCTTGTCAATAGAACAGCCCTCAGATATTAAGTGCTTCATCACGACAATTCCTAGTATTCGAAGGGCTCATTCGAGTACTGCTTATGCCGAATACGTTAGTGATTGCGTTTGTTTACGCACCGATGATACGAACGACGCAAATTTTCGACTAGAAACTAATTTTTAATAACGGTATATATATCTATGGATATTTTCTACATAGTGATTCATAAATATGACCGGCACCTATTTACTCTAAAATACCGCACTGTAAGTGGGGGTAATCAAAATATTAAAATATGGACGCCATTTCTATGTTTTTTCAAATTAATGGAGCTAATTTGCCAAGTGCAGACATTTAATCAATTCAGGAAGAACACAAACAATTCATACAACGATTACTACCAATACCTCTTTTCATTATTTAGGTAAGTTTAGTGAAACATAATCTTCGTAGTATGTCACGTCAGTCAATGATGAATATTCTTGATTACACGTGCATGTTTTTAAAGATAAGCGCATAGATACTCAGTTACCTCTGCTAAAACTGTACTTTTCACAAAAATCATTTTCGAACAATTAGTGTCTACAAAATGGCTTTAAGTTTCTAGTGTGAATAATATCAAGCGGTTACATTTCACTATTCAATAATAAACGTACTCCTATATCTAAAAGATTAATTATAAACCATGATGCATCGTTTATTTATACATTGAATCGTAAATTTATACATTGAAGCAAAGGCTTTACAATTTGATTATCCAATGTTACAGAACGGTTTATAATTTCAAAAGTATGCACATAACTATTTCCTGGAACTTCATTGCATTAAGTACACTTATTTCGAATTGTTTATGATATCCATTGGCAGCTATATTGATGATATTATAAAAAGCCAAACATGTGTATGTGTAGTATGGAATATAACATCAGAAAACTCTATACCAATTAGTTAGTGAAAACTATGCCATAGTGCACAGTATGATTTTACCTATATTGTTCTCGGCTGGGCAAGTGTTGGCTTGAGGTCTGCTCTTCCGATCGCCCATCATGTATTGTTTTTACGCAAGTCTAGAAAAAATTTTGTTAAAAACAGCTATGATTATTTTCATTAAACTTTCATAATAACGGTAGGTATTTCACACGTCTATATTCGTAATATGTTGCTTCATATGACCTGAATATATAGCCAAGACGTTTAAGAATTTTAAAATTTTAGTTGTGGAATAACTGCCATGACTGATAGAGTCACCGTATAATTGAAGGGGCTCCTGTTGAATAGACGCTACTAACTCGACTACATCAAGACTCATAAAATAGAACTTCGACGCATTTAAAAAATTGCAGAGACGTCACAGGCAGTTGATAGGAACACGTTGCCTCAGAACAAGCTAACAACCACTTACTACCGAGTTGAATAATGACACATACGAAGATCGATGCTGCAATTTTCTCTTAATAGTTAGAGCAGTTCCAATTAGCTACAGTCGCTAATTGTACTGCTCTCCTTTGATATTTCTCGGAAGTTCATGCACATCAAGAATAAAGTACAGGTAGGCCAGAGTCTGTAAAAACCCAATGCATAGAAAACGGAACAGCCGTCAGAATCATTTTGCGGTTATCTGAAAACCTTGATTCCTCCTTTGTTCTGACTAAATCGTCGGCATTATTACCGCCGACGATGTTGCAACGAAAATCAGCAGCAACAATGCTTTCATATGAACTCCTAGCATGTCTCTTTCGCTGTATCATCATCAGTGAAAGCAGGTGACCCATTCAGCTGACGACGTAATTCGTTTCGTGTATACTAGCCCGGAGAGAGGGCTATCAGCGCCTAGCTCTTCGTCGTGTGTCATACTCGTGTTTGTCGTATCTTTTATTTCTTAATAGTACCGCTTTCTAGCATCCTATACCATGGACAAATGGCACTGAAATAAAGAGTACCGCATACGGCGTAAGATTGCTTAGTACTCTACTGGCTTTTTCTGTTACTTTCTCTCTCTTTTGTTGATGTATTCACGTTTTATGAGTGTCTTCTTCCACCCGCTCTCGTTATATCGGCTGGACTGTCGCCATTTAGCACTGACGCAAACGCCAATGTTCGACCCCCTTCGCCCCAACACAACAAAGAAAACCAAA